CCACCCCTTTATCAGTGCCCGAAGTGACTGAAGCAGAGAAGAGGATTGTGAAGGTTGTACAGAGACATTCATTTCCTATAGACATTGACAAGTCAGTGATAACAGGTCGACTCGCCTGACTTAAACCGTTTGAAGAAGAAGGGATATTATGCGTGTCGGACGAAGATTGAAGCATTCAGATCTAAAGTACGATGCTAAGTACCCAGTGGTATTGCCAGGAAAGCACCCAGTTACTGAGTTAATAATTCGTCACTATCACCATCTCAATGGACACGTAGGAGTCTATAATGTCTTAGCAGAAATAAGACAACGGTTTCGGATTGTCAGGGGAGTTTCTTCAGTGAAGCGTGTTCTCATCAAGTGTCACGTTTGCAGGCGTTATAATGCCAAGTTAGAAGAGCAAGTGACTGCACAACTTTCCATGGTTCGAGTCTCTTCTGACAGTCATAGGATTATCTATCCGTTTGCTGCCGTAGGATTAGACTATTCTGGACCGCTTTACGCAAGAAGTGGGCCCTAGACAAGATCGAGGAAGAAAGCTACCCTAACCGAGCGTTTAGAATGCATGTTTACTTGCCTAAGATACTAAGCAGTTTACATTGAAGTGGCCGAAGACCTGTCTACAGATTAATTCATCAACGCAGTTCTACGCTTTGTTAGTAGACGAGGTCCCCCAATAGTTATTCACAGTAATAACGGTACTAAATCCAGAGGAGCCGAATTGGACGTTGTTAAGGCTTAGAAAGTGTGGGATCAAGAGAGGATCCAAGCCTTGACTAATAGAGGAATTGAATGGAAGTTCAATCCACCACCAGCGAGCCACCGAGGGGGAGTCTGGGAAAGACTCATAAGCTCGACCAGAAGAATCTTGTACTCATTAATTGGAGAGCGACTTCTCAACGATGAAACTTTGTGAACGTTTTCGGTAGAAATTGAGAAAATCTTGAACGACAGACCGATAATTTCAGTGTCGAGTGACCCGCCAGACTTATGCCGAGCCATATTCATCTGTTACGTAGAAACCCGTCCTTTTTCCTAAACGTGTTTGAAGAGTCGGACAAGTTCAAGGCAAGATGGAACATATTCGTCTTCTCAGAAACGAATTTTGGTGCAGATGGACGAAAGAGTACTTGCCGACGCTCCAGGTGCGACAGAAATGGCTATGTCCGAAGCCTAACCTCAGAGTTGATGAATTGGTTTTTAGGATGGCAGACAGGAACATGCCTCGAGAGCAGAGGCCAAAAGCTTAAGTGGAGCGGACCTTCCCGGACAGTGAAGGGATAGTACGCCAATTAATCGTGAGAACAACAGAAGGAGTATACCATAGAGACACAACTTTAGACTGATCCGCTTTCCTTGATACGTTAGAAAGCCTCTTTTGCCAGCGGAGAAGTTGCAGAGCCGTATTGAAGAACAAAACAAACCATTTCAAGCCAGAACAATTCAGTGAACAGCAGTTGCGTTAATTTTAGAAAGACTCCATTGTCATCTTTCGGGGAGAGAGGGTGTATAATTCGTTGAATTGTGTACTTACACACTTTATCAATAAAGGGCAAAATTACTGAGCGCTGATTGGTTGAGAGAGAGGGCATTTTTTCTTAATCGAGGGCATTTTTAGTAATCAAGAGAGGGCATGATTACCTGTTAATGATTGGCTAATCCGTTGCATAGCAACCGTTCGTTATCTTGAAATTTGTTAAAAATAGACTGCGCGCGTGATTTTCCTTCGTATAAATTTTGCCCTTTATTGATAAACAAGTAATCCCATGAGACCTCGTACTATTAAGGATTAATTGCACTTGAGTTTTCAAAATTTTCAAAATTTTGAAAACTCTCGTGCAATTAATCCTTAATAGTACTTGGCCTCATGTGATTACATATACATAGCACCGCTAACAATATACCTTGGGCGCAGTTTCTCGCACCGTGTGCATTGCTTGGGCGTCGTTTGTAGTTTTTTG